ATTGATCGTCCTTTGCATGACTATCAAAGGAAAGCTTGTATTTCACAGTGATACAAAATCAAGTCTTTGAGATTTGAACGCAGATGCTTTTTTAGAGCCCCAATTTATTTAGTATTATTATTACCATATATAATTATATCAATTTTCTCTTTGGAAAGGCGATTCCTGTTACAGAAAATCTCTTAAGGCAACCCTGGAAAAAAACAATAGTTGGCAAGTTTCAGATTCAGAAAATTTAAACCTTATATTATTTTAACAAATATAATAATAAAATAAAATATTACAGGAATATAATAATTAAAAAAAAAATGTATTCACCCTAATGTTCCAAACCTGTATTATTTTCTTTATTTAAAAACCAAAAGGAGATATCAGGAAGAATGTTCAAGCCTCCAGCTTCCGTACAATTAACATGGATGGTGATTTAAACTACCAAGCTGAACAAAAATGCATCATAAATTTATTATAATAGTCAATATGAATTATGTGCTATATTCCAAGTCTTCCGAAACCATAATTTGATTTTCATCCCTTCGGCCTCAGCTTTAAAATCTCATTTGTAGTCACATATTTTAAAACATCCCATATGTTACTTGGTCACAAAACGTCAAAGACGTCACTTCTGGTGCAAGGCATCTATTTTTAATATAAGCATGAACAAAATTGCGACCCCTAGAGGACGCAGTTCGAAGTTCCCATGAAAGGGAACGTCTCAGGTTACTTATGTAACCATGGTTCCGAGTAGGGAACGAGACACTGCGTCCTCTAGGGGTCGCTATGGGGAAACCTAGAGGACACAGTTCTAAGTTCCCATGAAAGTGAACTGCTGTGCTTTGAAACAGACTAAAACTAATCAAATAATTCACAACTCAATCTCCCAGCACTTTATCATTATTATTTTTTACACAAAATGTATTTTTAAAACGTATTCGCAAAATAATAATAATAATATTAAGTACATGACTTAGCCTACTAATATGACGAGTGCTGAAGTTTTAAAATGTAATATTCTTCACTGTATCATTCCACGTGTCTGTGTTCGCTTTATAGAATTCTTTTGGAATGTTTTCATTGGAGTAAAACGAAACAGATACTCCATTGTGAAATGCTGTGCAGATTATATCGAGTAAGCCTACAGCAGAACTACATTTAAACAGTGAAACCCCTGTCGTCAAAAAGCTTTGTCATGCTTCCACGAGAAATGTTTATTTGCTTTATTGCGCAACTCCTTTGCTTTATTACGTTTGAACCCTCGAGAGGGACGTCCAGTTGTCTGAGGAGCTAACAATGTAACTCAATAACAGTACTCCACCCGCAGGAGAATGCTTTGTTCTCTGAAAATATGATACGTTTACCTGATGATAACAGAGCCGCGTGCGCCCGCCTCTCTGTGTTTGACCATCAGTCAATGTTACTGTACTTCAAACAAAACCAGCAGACAAACATGCTGGAAATATATTTTAATGCAAAAAAAATCTTTAACAACAATGCACACAATCTACTTTGGTGGTTTAGAATGGTTTTCAAATATATCGTATTAGTTATTACGAAATTAAGGCTGTTTCACACCATTACATACAAACATCTGTATTGAAAATGCAAGTGTTCCCTCTTCATATTTACAGATCAAACTTGAACAGGACATGACAACATTGATCGTCCTTTGCATGACTATCAAAGGAAAGCTTGTATTTCACAGTGATACAAAATCAAGTCTTTGAGATTTGAACGCAGATGCTTTTTTAGAGCCCCAATTTATTTAGTATTATTATTACCATATATAATTATATCAATTTTCTCTTTGGGAAGGCGATTCCTGTTACAGAAAATCTCTTAAGGCAACCCTGGAAAAAAACAATAGTTGGCAAGTTTCAGATTCAGAAAATTTAAACCTTATATTATTTTAACAAATATAATAATAAAATAAAATATTACAGGAATATAATAATTAAAAAAAAAATGTATTCACCCTAATGTTCCAAACCTGTATTATTTTCTTTATTTAAAAACCAAAAGGAGATATCAGGAAGAATGTTCAAGCCTCCAGCTTCCGTACAATTAACATGGATGGTGATTTAAACTACCAAGCTGAACAAAAATGCATCATAAATTTATTATAATAGTCAATATGAATTATGTGCTATATTCCAAGTCTTCCGAAACCATAATTTGATTTTCATCCCTTCGGCCTCAGCTTTAAAATCTCATTTGTAGTCACATATTTTAAAACATCCCATATGTTACTTGGTCACAAAACGTCAAAGACGTCACTTCTGGTGCAAGGCATCTATTTTTAATATAAGCATGAACAAAATTTGTCAACTCTGAAAAAGACTCTCTATTTTGTTGTGGAGACTAACATTATATAATAGAGAAAATATGTGACTGGAATGACATTAGGGTGAGTAAATCGTGAGTATGATTGTTTCTGAGTGAATTACTCCTGTAAGGTACTGATTTTAAAGCAGTGGTGCCAGTGAACACTAACATTCCTGCTCATCCACACGGCCTAAAAATAGCGCTAGTCGATGCTAACTGAATCTGAAAAGCTTGAGGGAAGGGCGGTGCTGGTGTTTATTGGCAGGCCTTTACTCGTCCTGTGACCTGTGAGGCACCGGTGAAGTCAAGAAGAGTGTTGAGGCATGTTCACCTGATATTTCCTCCGCTGATGAGTCTAAAGTGCTGCTAATGGAATTCCTGCAAGAAATATAGCACAGACTGTGCTGAAACAACACCTCCACACTGATCATTCACAGCACTGTTTGAGTCCCGATGCTGCATTGTGGCACACCGTGCGGTTTGAGGCCCATCGGGCCGACAGCTGATGGAGCGAATGACTGTCATGCCAGAGAGGATTCCTCTACCACACGCCACGCACACATGCAATGAGCTAACAGCACTGCGGAGGCCGCATACTGAGCTTTCCCTCTGCCTAAACTAGGTTCAGATGGGATATTCATTCATAATCAAAACCATCGATCAGGAAGGGGTTGTTCAGACTGAAGCCTCCGCCATCGGCAGTCTGAAAGGCAACTGTATATGAAATTCCCATAAAACCAGTCAGATCACATTTCTGTGGTGCCCCGCACATGATATGTGGACAAAATCATATTCATTGTGGCCACGAATGAAGAACAAGGTAGCAAGGTAACAAATTAGTTACCTAAAACAAGGTAACAAATTAGTACGATGTGGCAACAATTTACTCAAACGAGGGAACGAATTAGTAGGCCACAAATTACTAAAACGAGGCAACGAATTAGTATGACGCAGCCACAATTTACGAAAACAAGGGAACGAATTAGTACAACATGGCCACAAACTACTAAAACGCAACGAATTAGTACGACGTAGCCACAATTTACGAAAACGAGGCAACGAATTAGTACGACGTAGCCACAATTTACGAAAACGAGGGAACGAATTAGTACGACGTAGCCACAATTTACGAAAACAAGGGAATGAATTAGTACAACATGGCCACAAATTACTAAAACGAGGCAACAAATCAATATGACGTGACCACAATTTACGAAAACGAGGGAACGAATTAGTATGACGTAGTCACAATTTACAAAAACAAGGGAATGAATTAGTACAACTTGGCCACAAACTACTAAAACGAGGCAACAAATTAGTATGACGTAGCCACAATTTACAAAAACAAGGGAACGAATTAGTACAACTTGGCCACAAACTACTAAAACGAGGCAACAAATTAGTATGACGTAGCCACAATTTACAAAAACAAGGGAACGAATTAGTACAACTTGGCCACAAACTACTAAAACGAGGCAACAAATTAGTATGACGTAGCCACAATTTACAAAAACAAGGGAACGAATTAGTACAACTTGGCCACAAACTACTAAAACGAGGCAACAAATTAGTATGACGTAGCCACAATTTACGAAAACGAGGGAACAAATTAGTATGACGTGGCCACAATTTACTAAAAAGAGGCAACGAATTAGTACGACATGGACTACAATTCACTAAAACAAGGGAACAGTACTAAAATTGACTAAACTAAGGGAATGAATTAGTACAACATGGCCACAATTTACTAAAAAGAGGGAACAAATTAGTACGACATGACTATTATTTACTAAAAAGAGGGAACGATTTAGTACAACATGGTCAAATTTTACTAAAAAGAGGGAACGAATTAGTACAAGGTGGTTGCAATTTACTAAAAAGTGGTACAATGTCACTACAATTTACTAAAACGAGGGAATAGTACTAAAATTTACTAAAACAAGGGAATGAATTACCATGATGTGGCCACAATTTAATAAAAAGAGGGAACGAATTAGTGCTAAAATTTAGTACTAAAATTGACTAAAACAGGGGGACCGAATTAGTACAACGTGGCCACAAAATACTCAAACAAGGGAACAAATTACTACAACATGACCACAATTTACTAAGAAGAGGGAACGATTTAGTACAACATGGTCAAAACAAGGTAATGAATTAGTATGTGGCCACAATTTACTGAAATGTGGGAACAAATTAGTACAACGTAAATACAATATTTTTTTTCCCTTGCATATCATGTGTGGGGCTACGTATATTTCACACCGAAAAATAATGGATAAAGAAACGAAAAATAATGGATAAAGAAACTGAAGTTAATTTGTTGGATCATTCAGGTTTTTCTGCATTAAAACATTTTCTTGACAGTCGTTTTCCTCATGATTTTGATTGGGACAGGTTTCGTGAGATTGTTGTGAGAAGTTGGATAAGGCTGTAATGAGGATCAGTTTGATCCAACGTGACTCTTTTCCACACATTTGTCCGTCTCACACAAATGTCAGCAATTTAGACTATTTGCATTTGCTCATGTGAGCTGAATCAACAGACTTAAGATCTGACAAGACTCGTGTGACAAGTCTCATTCCTGTTTATTCCTGTACATTTCAGTCTGTTATGGTAGATTAAACCCGAGATCCAGTATTTGGGGTTTAAAAAGAAAGGACCATAAAAAAAAAAAATTTAAACAGGTGTGTGAGAAGCACCGGGGCAGTGCATTGTGAGGCACTTACATGCTTTCAGAAGATGCTGTCTGTGTGCGATCATATGATTCTTTCATTGTTTACTAATGTGGGAAATGGCAGAAACAGGCATTTATGTTGCATTGATTTGTGTCAACTAACATGTGACATAATCCCATGATCAAAAATAAAGCTTCCTCTTTAAAACATCCAGAAGGCACACTTTGAAGTTACTTGAAGAATAAAATCTGAAAACTGAATCCAGTACAGTTATTGCTCGGAGATCTGCACATTAGTTTAAAGTGCCGCAAGATAATTGTGCGAGAATTAAAGGCCACCTGACAGTTTTCTACAGTATCCGTTGCTGGAGGGAAGGACTGTGAGATAGCGGTGAGTTGTGAATGGAAAATGGATCCAGTTGTTCAGGATCTGAACACGTGCACTGCCCGCACCACGTACTGCCGGCAGATCGGACATTCATTCATGCGCTTGCCGCACTTTGTGCATGTGACCATGTGTCCGCACTCCAAAAGAACACAGTCAATGGGTGAGTCCATACAGATCTTACACAGGTTCTCCTCCACGGCCGTCCCAGGTCCGGCGTCTATAAAGAAAACAAGAAGTCCTCACAAACTTAGAAGAATAACAATCAGTATGAAAAGAAACTAAAGAGTACACGTGTGTGAATATCATGACATTTTGGTCAGGACATTAAAAATGCAATTTATAACATTCACTTAAAAGCATCTTCATTTTTTTTTATGAGTTTTGATATTTTTTGGATGGGTTAAGTCAAAATGTCAATGTGGTACAACTGTCCTCTTCTCACAATGAAGAAAAAAACGTAGCTAGTAGGGCTGGACGATATGGCAAAAATGTATATCACGATATATTTCTTAATTTCAGTCGATACGATATAATTCCGATATCGATATGAACATTATTAAAAAAGCCTCGTAAAAACTGCCAAGAACGCCACAACAGATGTCTGTGCATACAAACTTATGAAAAATGAATTTGCCAAGTCTCTGACACCTCATATAAAATCATATAATATTTTAGAAAAAAAAAACAGCACAAATAAACTAATGTTCACCTTTTATTTGTATTTAGCCTTCATTCAAACAAGAAATGTGAAATTCTTTCAATCCTGCATTTTTTTGATCCAAAATACAGCAAAAACAGTAACATTTTGAAATATATTTACTATTTAAAATAACTGTTTCTATTTGAAAATATTTTAAAATGTCATTTATTCCTGTGATTTCAAAGCTATATTTTTAGCATCATTACTCCAGTCACATGATCCTTCAGAAATCATTCTAATATTCTGATTTGCTGCTCAAAAATCATTTATTATTATGTTGAAAACAGCGGAGTATAATTTTTTCAGGATTCTTTGATGAATAGAAAGTTCAGAAGAACAGAATTTATCTGAAATAGAAATCTTTTGTAACATTATAAATGTCTTTATTATCACTTTTGATCAATTTAAATCATCCTTGCTAAATAAAAGTATTAATTTCTATAATTTCACACTGACTCCAAGCTTTTGAATGGAATAGTGTATAATGTTACAAAAGGTTTTTATTTCAGATAAATGCTGATCTTTAGGTCTTTCTATTCATCAAAGAATCCTGAAAAATGTACTCAACTGTTTTAAATATTGATAAT